ATTCATTATCATCATTATAAAACACTATTGGGGTTATAAACGGTACCTATATTCATTATCATCATAATAAAACACTATTGGGGTGATAAACGGTACCTATATTCATTATTATCATTATAAAACACTATTAGGGTTATAAACGGTACCTATATTCATTATTATCATTATAAAACACTGTTTGATGTCACATTTACTTGTGTCACAAATGAAGATTTTCAATAAATTAAAATATTCCACACTATGTTCTGAATAAAACTGCCATGATCACCCATGACAATCTAATTGCTTCTTATCTCATTATTATTATTGCGTATTGAAAATACCACTGTCCAGTAGATTTGAAGATACTTGAAATTAAATAGTCCAACAATACAAGAGGCCCATGGGCATTGATGGTCATCCGAGTTGTAATACAATTATCACTTGTTATTGTGGTGTGAAAGAGAATGGCAAAGCTTGCTTATCAGTAGAAATACATATGGGTAACTATAAAAACTTTGGGCGACAGTGAAGTTACAGTGTCATATATTGATGTATATCCAAACATTACCATACATTATTAGAATAAATTAGCTTTGAAATTAAGATATATTATAGTAAACATATTTTTTTTTTAGTTGCACAGCATCACAAGATGTTCCACACCAAACTTAATTTAATATAAGGCGTTTTGGCCCCTAGAATATGACTGATGGTTTAGCACATTGCTTCCGCTCCATGTAAACGCCTCAACTGTAAAACAGTCAACAGCCTACAGCTATTTGGTGTGGTGAACTAACACTGCAAAAAGAAAATTGCACAAATTGCTTTGTAACTTTAACTTGAAGTCCAATTTTTTTTAATTTTTTTTCGGCCCCATAAATATGAAAAAAGGTTCAGCACAATGTTTACACTCCATATACATGTCTCAGCCCCATAACTGTCAATATCTTCCTGACTCTGGTGATGTAACATTTTTCTGGAAAAATTGCTTATTTTTTTTATACCTAAAGTGAAAGGCTGATGCAGGGTGACTACATTAGCCCCCTATTCTCCTGAGTAGGCCAACTAATGATGTTGAGGAGTGACAAACATATATCACACGCAATGTATTTATATAGATGGTAAATGTCAATGAGTAGTGAAATAATAATATAATATAGTAGTAAAGTTTAACCCCCTTCACAAGGAGGAATAGTAAACGTGTTGTAATGAAATCAACTTTTGATAAACAATCTTTGGACCTTTCTATCATTGAAATATGGATATATTCAACCCAATTTTGAATTATAATTTTCACACAGAAAATAAACAAAATATACCCTAAATTGTTATCATCTCTTTGAACTACAGTGAATTCACTAAAGTACATGGTCACGAGTACGGTGTCCTACCACTAGACTAAAAGAATCTGTCACCCCCTTGGGGGTGAGACAGGGGAATCTCAACCCGAGAGGGAGATTCTTAAGTTGCTAAACACAAGGCTTTGCCGAGTGTTTGGCAACTTAAGAATCTTTCCCCGAGGGTTGAGATTCCCCTGTCTCACCCCCAAGGGGGTGAATGATTTTATTTCTCTTACCCTTTTCTCACATTGTGTATCATATACACAGTGTAATGATAACGTTACATGCTAAAATCAGGGTTGACGTGACGTTGATGGATTGTTGACATTACGTCATCGTATTGTTGAAGTGACGTCATAATATTGTTATGAATAGGGGAATCCCCCTGTCTCAACCCTAGGGTGAGACAAGGAATTCTCTTACCCTGGACAGGTGTATCCGCACTTTTACCGGTGTGATATTATTTACCATTGTTTACTTTGTGAAATTATTTATTTAAGCCCCTCTTAAAAAATTATCTTCTTAGTTTATTTTAGTTTTAGCAGATTTTATTGCATATTACAACAAAAGGATTAGGCCCAAGTTATCACAACTTATATTTATGCCTTTTCCCGATTGAATTATAAAACAATGCATGATAACGCAATAGTCTAGCTGTAAATATAATTGACAAATTTTAGGATAGGGATAGGGTGAAAGCGTATTGGGACATGTCTTCTATCACATATTACATTGTACATCCTAGACACTCCAGGGGTTACGCTCACTTTCGCTCTATACACCCCTGGAATATGTCAAAGCAAAATTGAAGGCCCAAAGATAGCTGTTTGATTGGTCTTAGGTAAAAAAAACCTGACCAATCGCTAGGCTGGTACCTGTCTTTTGAAGATTACAAAGGAGAGATGCCTGACTTCAAAGCCTGTCAATTTTTACCATTATGTGACCAAGATATTCTTTTGATGTACATCAAAGGATCATACTAGTTAGTCTTCTTGTCTCATCAACAAGGTGGTGCACACTGATCCTTCGATTTTGCTATGACATATTCCAGGGTTGCAGAGAGTGAAAGAGAGCGTAACCCCTGGATATCGAGGATGCATATTGTGATGCGTTTAACAGAGTAATAGTTGTTTAAAATTTGAATGTTGGAAAATAGAAAAAAAGAAAACACAAAAACAGCAGTGTTCGATATCGGGACCTCTCCATTATAGAGCCTACACTTTATCAATGTTGTTATGCAGAAATTGTAACTTCACACCATCAAAATGAGTATCCAATATATGCACCACAAAGAAAAACTTGACAAGGGAAGATACTCTAAGTCAGAGTTTCATGTTCTGTAAAGAAGGGAGAATACTCCAAGGAAACAAGAGGCCCATGGGCCTTAACGGTCACCTGATATATTTATACAGAGAGTTGAATTTGTTTTTAACATGAACAGAAATATTATTCAAAGTGACAAAAAACAATAAAACCACCTTATTCAATATCTAGCATACAGATTTAAGACTAAAAAGTATTTGAAACTAGCACCTCTGATTCTAAACAAGGAAAATAAGAAATTTTAGCGCACTGACTCCTTTGGGCCCCAGCCTACAACCCTTGGGGGTAGAGCTGGCTCAAAATGTAATATTCAAAGTATCATTTGCCATTATAAATCATAATAAATTTTGCCTTGAAATTTCAGTCAATTTGACCCTTTTTGGGCCCCACCCATCAGTCCCGGGGGGTCAGTCAGGGCTGATATGTGCATACTATCAAACTGCTACCTAATACTGATAATGCTAACCCAAATTGAATTACTTCCAATGGAAATTAAACAAATGTTGGTCCAAAATGTGATTTCCCTATATAAACTATAGTAAAGTTTACCCCATCCACAATTTTGGTAAAGCACCATAAGACCCTTCCATCTATGAAGAGTATTTGATTCTACCATATCTGGGTCTTGAGAAGAAGATTTTTGAAATTTTAGTCAATTTGACCCTTTTTGGCCCTGCCCCTCAGGCCCCTGGGGGCTTGGGACTAAACCGGCAACTTTTTTTGTTGACCTTTGTCCATGGAAGGTTCCTGCAAAATTTCATTGAAATTGATTCAGTGGTTTTGGAGAAGAAGTCGAAAATGTAAATTGTTTACGGACGCACGACGGACAAAAGGCGATCGCAATAGGTCACTTGAGACTTTGTCTCAGGTGACCTAAAAACCTCGGAGTTGAACTCTTCTTTGTGATTGTAGCTGATGCAGTGGTACTATTTACCTTAACTAAAACAGTAATGTGTAAAGTATCTTATAGAATGAAAAAGATTTCTGTTTTCTGGCAGCCATATCATTATCTGATAATGCTACTCCAGGAACAAAACAAAATAACTATATATGCAAAACAGAGAGAACAGGAAAAGTTTACTAATCATACAAGGGAAATCTACATGTGGAGTTGAAGAACGATCTCTGAGAAATAGAGATAAAAACTATTAAATGTCAAAACCCAAGATGGCTCCCGGCCCAGTCTTTAAATAAAACACGTACCAGGACGAAGGACCAGGGAAAACCTATGTATAAAATCTGAGACAGGTCTGTCAAGTACTTGTTGAGAATGAGCAACAACAATCCAGAACTGTCAAAATCCAAGACAGCTGCCTGGTGGCCATCTTGTTGTCCTGATAGCACACAAAACATGCACAACAACGGACCAAGGGGGCATGCGCACCAACACATGATATTTGAGAAAGATCTGTGCAGTACTTCATTAGAAATAGTGATAGCAAACTAAAACTTTCAAAATCAAAGACAGTTGCCTGCAGGCAGCGATCATTTTGTTACAATCAGTCTCAAAATGAAACATGCACAACTAGGGACCACAGGAAACTTATGAATTTTGAGGAAGATCCCTTCACTACTTGAGAAATAGCGATAACAAGAATTGTTTAAGGATGGACAAGGAGTAATTTGTACAGTCCACCATCAAATGTTATACCTGTATGCAACACACCATTGACCATGATGTACGGGCATACCAAGTATGATCCCCTCACTGAAACACACCATTGACCATGATGTACGGGCATACCAAGTATGATCCCCTCACTGAAACACACCATTGACCATGATGTACGGGCATACCAAGTATGATCCCCTCACTGAAACACACCATTGACCATGATGTACGGGCATACCAAGTATGATCCCCTCACTGAAACACACCATTGACCATGATGTACGGGCATACCAAGTATGATCCCCTCACTGAAACACACCATTGACCATGATGTACGGGCATACCAAGTATGATCCCCTCACTGAAACACACCATTGACCATGATGTACGGGCATACCAAGTATGATCCCCTCACTGAAACACACCATTGACCATGATGTACGGGCATACCAAGTATGATCCCCTCACTGAAACACACCATTGACCATGATGTACGGGCATACCAAGTATGATCCCCTCACTGAAACACACCATTGACCATGATGTACGGGCATACCAAGTATGATCCCCTCACTGAAACACACGAATAGGTGAGTTAAATGTCTTTATTTTGGTACTTATGGTCAAAACCAAACATCACATAGTAGGTTGTTATTGGGTGTGTTTACATGACTACTGTGACAATTATATATACCTGGGTTTTCTGACGATCAGGGTCTCTATTATAAGGAAAGAATACTTGCCTGTCTCTTGTCCTCCATCATGCCAAGAATACCCATAAGTGTACAAGAACAACTGAAGATGTGGCCTTTCTCTCGGTACACTTGCATCAGTTCCAAAAGACACTCGGTGGCACCATCTACTTCATAAACTGCAGCACGAGTCCTCTCATACTAAAAACAAAAAAGTGGAAGCTAGAAAACGTTTGCAAGACATGAAAGCAACTTCCTCAAAGCAAATTTTAGTTTTTCTTTTCCACAAATTCCTATGAATAGTATTGGTGGCCTCTGCTCAAACTATCAGTGAAGTTGCTAGAGTGATATTGATCACTGAATTTGTTTGACAAATTTCTCGAAACAGTAAGGGCGAACCTAATCCAGGCCTTGAAACCTCATACAAGGTACATTGCATACAATTTATTTCAAATCAGAATAAGGAGAGGACAAGACAGACATGGGACACACTATATTTGTTCTCTCCTTCCTTAAATGGTGGGGGCATACAAAATGCTGTGTTTTATTTCCTGAGATTGATGCTAAACCCCTAAGCGTGACTGTCACATAACATTAGCAGTACACAATGGTCAGAGGATCAAATTGTGTGTGAAATCAGTCTATCTAAAGCTTGTCATCACCACAATACTGACATGTAGTCGCACTCCTTTTGAATATTGTCTATTTAGGTAATGATGGAAATGTGAGAGATTACCTTGGCTAGGTTGAGCAGAATGTTGATAGAATATCGGATTATCTCCATGTGTGGCTGACTGCGGTTACAACTCTGTATCAGACGATAGATCACACCCACCGCGTTCACATTGACCATCCGCTGGCAACAGGCTGGCGACAAACGTGTCGATGTTTCTGGAAAAACAAAGTTAAACAAAGATTGATCGCATATATCGAAGGTGAAACCTTGTGATGTACTTTACTCAGTATAGGTAAACCTTGTGATGTATGTTACTTAGTATAGGTAAACCTTGTGATGTGCGTTACTTAGTATAGGTGACACCTTGTGATGTACATTACTCAGTATAGGTAAACCTTGTGAAGTACATTACTCAGTATAGGTAAACCTTGTGATGTACGTTACTTAGTATAGGTAAACCTTGTGATGTACATTGCTTAGTATAGGTGACACCTTGTGATGTACATTACTCAGTATATGTAAACCTTGTGATATACATTACTCAGTATAGGTAACCTTGTGATGTACGTTACTTAGTATAGGTGACACCTTGTGATGAACATTACTCAGTATAGGTAAACCTTGTGATGTATGTTACTCAGTATAGGTGACACCTTGTGATGAACATTACTCAGTATAGGTAAACCTTGTAATGTACGTTACTCAGTATAGGTAAACCTTGTGATGTATGTTACTCAGTATAGGTGACACCTTGTGATGTACGTTACTCAGTATAGGTGACACCTTGTGATGTACGTTACTCAGTATAGGTGACACCTTGTGATGTACGTTACTCAGTATAGGTGACACCTTGTGATGTACGTTACTCAGTATAGGTGACACCTTGTGATGTACGTTACTCAGTATAGGTGACACCTTGTGATGTACGTTACTCAGTATAGGTGACACCTTGTGATGTACGTTACTCAGTATAGGTGACACCTTGTGATGTACGTTACTCAGTATAGGTGACACCTTGTGATGTACGTTACTCAGTATAGGTGACACCTTGTGATGTACGTTACTCAGTATAGGTGACACCTTGTGATGTACGTTACTCAGTATAGGTGACACCTTGTGATGTACGTTACTCAGTATAGGTGACACCTTGTGATGTACGTTACTCAGTATAGGTGACACCTTGTGATGTACGTTACTCAGTATAGGTGACACCTTGTGATGTACGTTACTCAGTATAGGTGACACCTTGTGATGTACGTTACTCAGTATAGGTGACACCTTGTGATGTACGTTACTCAGTATAGGTGACACCTTGTGATGTACGTTACTCAGTATAGGTGACACCTTGTGATGTACGTTACTCAGTATAGGTGACACCTTGTGATGTACGTTACTCAGTATAGGTGACACCTTGTGATGTACGTTACTCAGTATAGGTGACACCTTGTGATGTACGTTACTCAGTATAGGTGACACCTTGTGATGTACGTTACTCAGTATAGGTGACACCTTGTGATGTACGTTACTCAGTATAGGTGACACCTTGTGATGTACGTTACTCAGTATAGGTGACACCTTGTGATGTACGTTACTCAGTATAGGTGACACCTTGTGATGTACGTTACTCAGTATAGGTGACACCTTGTGATGTACGTTACTCAGTATAGGTGACACCTTGTGATGTACGTTACTCAGTATAGGTGACACCTTGTGATGTACGTTACTCAGTATAGGTGACACCTTGTGATGTACGTTACTCAGTATAGGTGACACCTTGTGATGTACGTTACTCAGTATAGGTGACACCTTGTGATGTACGTTACTCAGTATAGGTGACACCTTGTGATGTACGTTACTCAGTATAGGTGACACCTTGTGATGTACGTTACTCAGTATAGGTGACACCTTGTGATGTACGTTACTCAGTATAGGTGACACCTTGTGATGTACGTTACTCAGTATAGGTGACACCTTGTGATGTACGTTACTCAGTATAGGTGACACCTTGTGATGTACGTTACTCAGTATAGGTGACACCTTGTGATGTACGTTACTTAGTATAGGTAAACCTTGTGATGTACATTACTCAGTATAGGTAAACCTTGTGATGTATGTTACTTAGTATAGGTGACACCTTGTGATGTCCGTTACTTAGTATAGGTGACACCTTGTGATGTACGTTACTTAGTATAGGTGACACCTTGTTAGGTTCATTGCTTTGTAGAGGTGAAATCTTTTAACAAGGTAAGCTGTAAAATTGCTCCCTCCTATCAGGGATTAGAAAAGATCAGCACATTGAGAGGTTAGGAGAATGGGTGTGGTTCTTACCCAAGTGTATCAAAGCCTCGAGAATCTGTGACAGCTGTTTGTACTTGAGAAGATAATCCAGAGCTGATTCTGTCCTATTCCCAAGTTTCCTATCCTCTGTGGCAATTTTTGTTGCCTCCTTCAGGTTCTTGCGGATATTTTCTAATTTCTTTGAAGGGTAAGTCTTTCTTACTCTTCTGCCTCTCCAAATAGCCTGAAAAAACACCCCAAGATTTTTTCATATTTTTCAAATCATTTTTTTCGGTTACTATGATTATCATTACATAGTTTTAGAAATACAATGTACTATTTTGTAATTCCAGTATATTCATTGGGAACTCCAACAATAAACAAGATCCCCGAGAACTCCAACAAGCTGACCTTTACTATTAGTAATATCTAGTACATCATTCTGTATTACTGTCATAAGGGAGGTAATCCTGACTCAAAGAGGCTATTCATTTAGGTTAGCTTTTCTTCTTCACTAAGTTCTTCAAATGGATATAGTTTGATACGAATTATGAAGAAAATAAATGAGATATTGGAAAGAGTCACGGTTCTGTTGGCTTTTTTTCCATTAATTATCAAGAAATCTTTCATCATATAGCTACACATTTAAGTGGCAGTTACTTGTGAACTTCCAACAAGCTGAACATGTACGAGCATGTTTTACTTAAAATTGGTAAACAAAAATTCTAAGATGAAACATGAAGGCACATAATTTCTGGCATGGTCATCTAGTTTCTTTGCAGGAGCAAGTACACATATTTACAATGTGGATTGCTGTCAATCATTATCAACTGTTCACACCCATTCAGTAAATCGGTCATTGGGTGAGAAGGTTGGGCAATGGAAATACATAAGTATCACCATCAAAATGTAAAGTGTAAGGGTGACGCACAATATGCAAAAGTCTTGTGAAATAGAATGTATTTGAGCCTGGGTCTGGGGTTATTTAGTCCTGTGCTGTAGCAATTCTGTTAGAGGTGTGTACGCCAATGATGAATAACAAGGTCAAGGGGTTCTTGTTTTGAAGAGCAGACTATTAAACCTATTCAATAGTTTTCATGACAAACAGTTACTGATGTATTTTTAAAATTCTACCAGAATATAGGTAGTAGAATTCTATTTCTTTTCTTCTGCCACATACAAACCTGTAGTGTTATGGCTGACTGTTCTTGATGGATGACTGATCGTCGTCCAAGCCAACCACGCACAACTGCCTGTAATTTAATCACGGCGGCGTTACGAAAATGCAGGTGTTTTCGGGCCCTTGTCTGAACCACTTTGACAGCAGAAATGAAACGCAGAAATTGCATACGTGCCAGTTTTGCCCTCATCCATCGCTGCAAAATGAACAATGAACAGTTTCATTTAGAGTTTATCTTTAATTGAATTGCTGGGACATATTGTCTGAACTAATAGTGACTCTTGATGTTCTGCTTTTATTACCTATTTGTGTATGTGTTCAAAATAAATCTATACAATCTTTCTTTCAGGTGAAATTTAAGAGTAACAAAATGATTTTATTGAGACAACTAAGGGGTTAATACATGTATTAATGATACTAATCTAAATGACAATTACCTAACTTTGACATAGATAATAAAATATTGCAAATATGGCAAATGGTAAATTTACATTACCAGTAATTGATTTGAGTAGAGTTTAAAATATACAATTTTTTATAAGCACATTTATTGTTTTTATTGTAATAAATAGATGTTTATAATAATCTTAATCAAGTGCTCAGACCTGCTTTTGATAATATTGTCAGACACTTTTTTATGTAGTAATAACTAACATGGGTTGTTTATTTTGTAAACAGTGCAAAGTGTGACTATTCAGTAGCAAACAACCAAATATGTCCCCAAATGTCTTCTTTATCGATTGTGAATGTACTGGCTATTCTATCAAGTTTTCTGCAACTAAAATGCTAATGTTCTGCCGTTTACGAGATATCAAATGATTTACTAGCATGATTTATGACGACGCAGACAATAATAATTTTTGACATGTTTTGCTATTTCTGAGACGTTACCTGTAGGACTATGATGCTGGTCAGACGTTGCCGAGCTGCCAGTAGGACTCGGTGGTTCCGGTAACAGCGTTGTATCTTTATCACAGACAGGTGAGAAGATACTACACCACTGAACTTCTCCAGGTATGCCATTCTCTTCCTCCTCGATTCCTGTGAAATTACACAACATCAATATCTATTATATATTGAGTTAAGTAAAACATTTAATTGTTATATCTTAATAAATAATTATTTACCTTAACACAGTAAGTGTATTTAATCTACCTTTCAACAATCTCAACTTGACTCAATAACACAAAGTATTGCATTTGTTCTTATCTCAAAAAAATCCTTTATTCACTAATAACTCCATTTTAATATGGTTATGAATTTTAATGAAAATTAGAGGTTTGTTTTGTGAACCTTATATGCCAATATTCTCTCCCCTTCTCTTGCAAAATATATAAATGCTAGTCAAGTCAAATAACCATATATAGATCAACAATTTAAAAAAAATCCATAATTAGGTTCCTGAAGGGGAGACATATTTACATTAATTTCATGCAAAAAAACACCAAAAAGGGATAGAAAAAAAAAAAGATACATTTGCAATTGTTGCTTCAGTAAACAAACATACCTGTTCTTCTTGTCTCCTCTTGTATGCTCGGTAGGCAGTTTGAATACAAGTGGCAGCTCTGTGTTGTGTGTGGATATGTTTTACCCTCCGCCTGGCCAGGGCTCCCCGTAATCCACTTTGTAGGAGTATAACACTGTTGATGATACACAGATACCATCTCCTCTGTGCATGCATCCTGTACATTGACTGTAATACAATGGCTGATTTGGTTTTCCTTACACACAGACGGGCTATGTAACCACGGAAACAAGACTGAATTCGTGTTGCAGCCTCATTTCTAGTGTGTATCCAGTGAAGAAGCTTCCGTCTAAACAGAAACATCTTGATTGCCCTCTGGAGAGAGACAAGTGCAAGCTTGCGACATGTTTTCTCCTGGCGTGCAAGGAATGCTCTGTGGTGGGACTGCAACACAATAGCAGCATTTCTTCGCCTCACAAAATCTTGCCTAGCAACATGCATTCTAAATGTCTTCTGTATCACAATGGCAGCTCTCACTTTCCGAACGTACTTTCTGGCTTGCACTCTTCTGAAAGCTGTCTGGATTACTAGGACTGCTTGGCGTTTTGCTAAGAATAAGCTTCTCTGTATCTTTGTAGCTAAACAAGCCCTGAGGTGCTTTTGAACAACAACAACAGTGTTGTATGTTTTCCTATATTGTCTCTGTGCAAGGAATCGTCGTACACATGCTTGAACACAGATCACAGACTTGCAAGTTGTATGGTACTGTTTTCGCACCAAAAATGACCTAATGTGAGCCTGAATGGTAATGACAGCACCTAATGTAATCAGATAGTCTCTGCGACATTCCTGCATTTGACGTTTTGTCTGTACTAGTCTTTGGCAACGAATAGCAGCTGATTTCAACTGACAGTATCGCTTTCTCTCTGGAATCATTCTGAAATGTGACTGCAACAAGATGGCTGCCTGTCTTGTTTTGTTGTACTTTGCCTGAACGGTCCGTTGCCTCCAGGCTGATTGGAGAACAATGGCTGCAGATCGTAGGTTGTGAAAACGACACTGTTGTTGATGACATGCCAGCATGGCACGGTACCGAGTCTGACATGTGATGACAGCCCATTGTAGTCGCCTATAAGCTATCCTCCGTAACGTACCACGGACAAGGGCCTGTATAAGTATGATATTGGAAAGGTCCCGTAGATAAGCCCTCCTAGTCAGACAAGTCTGGTAATGCTTCTGAATGACCACCACAGCCTGTTTTTTGGTGAGATAATCTGAGCGTACAGTTCTTGTGTATAGGCAGTTTCTGTACCATGATTGTATGGCTGCCACTGCTTGCCGCTGTTTATTGTAAGATAACACAGCCCTATGAGTTTTATACATACTCTGTATCACCACAGCGGCCACATGCTGCCTCTGTAGCTCATGTCGCACTAGGTAGCCCCTGAAAACTGCCTGTATTGCTATGGCAGCACCTTTCCGGATGAGGAATGCTCTCCGTACGTTAATGCACTCTCTCCTGGCGACGAGTCTGCGTTGGATGACTACAGTTGCATGTCTAAGCCTGAGGTAACGCCTCCTCTGTAGGAAGCCCTTGACGACTGCCTGTGATGTGATCACACAAGATTTGTCCATTCTTAGAACTTTAACTGCTCTGTGGCATCTGTACCAAGCTTGAATAGTGACTGCAGCAACTCTCATAGAGAGATAATCTGCCTTGATTCGTTGGGCAAACAGGAGGTTCTTGTACCATTTCTGTATACAAATACTTGCTGTTCTGTGTTTTTTGTAAATTACAGCAGCTCTGTGAGCTCTGTAGAAACTCTGGACGATCACTGCTGCTCTGTTATATCTGACCATTGCCTTACGTACTGTGTAACCCCTGAATGCAGCTTGTACTGTCATGGCCGCACCCTTCCTCGCTAAGAATTCCTTTCTGAGGCGTTTTCCTGCTAAGTGTGCAATAAATATCTGCTGAATAATAATAGCTGCGCTTTTAACCCTCAAAAACCTTTTTCTTTGAAGGTAGCCCTGAAATTTGGATTGTATGACATTTGCTGCTAGGTGCATTCTGGCTACTCCCTGTCTAACCTTGTGGCCTCTGAAGTATGCCTGAATGGTCATGGCAGCACCCTTCTTTACTAGGAACTCCTTTCTAACTCTATTCCCTTCCATGTTGGCTTTGAACTTTCCCTGAATAATCAATGCTGAATTTCTCAATCTGAGGAACTTTTTCCTCTGTAAGTGTCCCTTGACTGTAGCCTCAATCTTAGTAGCTGCTGAATGTAGATGTTTGATCTCCTGTCTGACCTTGTGACCTCTATAGAAAGCTTGTATCGTCATAGCAGCACCTTTCTGTACCATGAAATGTCTTCTCACTTTCTCTCCTTCCCTGCTTGCCCGGAATCTTCTCTGTAGGGTTAATACTGCATCCTTTAGTTTCCTGTATGCAGTCATTTTCTGATGGCCTCTGACATGAGCTTGAATGGCTATAGCTGCAGATCTCTGTTTCAGAAAGTCTGACCTTGTCCTGTGACCTCTGTAAGCAGACTGTATTTTCACCACTGACGATTTGACCTTTTTGAAATCTGACCTTGCCAGCCTGCCTTGTGTTATTGCTCTTTTCCACCTCTGTATTTTAACGACAGCAGATTTGACAGTCAGATATCTCATGTGTTCCAGGAAACCTTTGAATTGACTTTGGATGATGACAGCTGAAGCATGAAGATGGCTGATGTTTCTTCTCACTATGAGGCCTCTAAAGTGTGCCTGAATGGTCATGGCAGCACCCTTCTTTACTAGGAATTCCTTTCTAATTCTATCCCCTTCCAAGTTGGCTTTGAGCTTTCGCTGAATGACCAAAGCTGATTTTTTTAATCTGAGGAACTTTTCCCTCTGTAAGTGTCCCTTGACTGTAGCCTCAATCTTAGTAGCTGCTGAATGTAGATGTTTGATCTCCTGTCTGACCTTGTGACCTCTATAGAAAGCTTGTATCGTCATAGCAGCACCTTTCTGTACCATGAAATGCCTTCTCACTTTCTCTCCTTCCCTGCTTGCCCGGAATCTTCTCTGTAGGATTAATACTGCATCCTTTAACTTCCTGTATGCAGTCATTTTCTGATGGCCTCTGACATGAGCTTGAATAGATATAACTGCAGATCTCTGTTTCAGAAAGTCTGACCTTTTCCTGTGACCTCTGTAAGCAGACTGTATTTTCACCACTGACAATTTGACCTTTTTGAACTCTGACCTTGCCAGTCTGCCTTGTGCTATTGCCTTTTTCCACCTCTGTATTTTAACGACAGCAGATTTGACAGTCAGATATCTCTTGTGTTCCAGGAAACCTTTGAATTGACTTTGGATGATGACAGCTGAAGCATGAAGATGGCTGATGTTTCTTCTCACTATGAGGCCTCTAAAGTGTGCCTGAATGGTCATGGCAGCACCCTTCTTTACTAGGAATTCCTTTCTAATTCTATCCCCTTCCAAGTTGGCTTTGAGCTTTCGCTGAATGACCAAAGCTGATTTTTTTAATCCGAGGAACTTTTTCCTCTGTAAGTGTCCCTTGACTGTAGCCTCAATCTTAGTGGCTGATGAATGTAGATGTTTGATCTCCTGTCTGACCTTGTGACCTCTATAGAAAGCTTGTATCGTCATAGCAGCACCTTTCTGTACCATGAAATGTCTTCTCACTTTCTCTCCTTCCCTGCTTGCCCGGAATCTTCTCTGTAGGGTTAATACTGCATCCTTTAGTTTCCTGTATGCAGTCATTTTCTGATGGCCTCTGACATTAGCTTGAATGGTTATAGCTGCAGATCTCTGTTTCAGAAAGTCTGATCTTGTCCTGTAACCTCTGTAAACAGACTGTATTTTCACAACTGACGATTTGACCTTTATGAACTCTGACCTTGCCAGCCTGCCTTGGGTCATTGCTCTTTTCCACCGCTGTACTTTAATGGCAGCAGATTTGACAGTCAGATACCTCTTGTGTTCCAGGAATCCTTTGAATTGACTTTGGATGATGACAGCTGCAGTATGACAATGCCTTATGTTTTTCCTTACCATGTGACTTTTAAAGCAAGCTTGTATGGTAATAGCAGATTGTTTTTGTAAAAGGAATTCCTGTCTAACTACAGCTGCTGTTTGGTTGGCACGGTAAAATCTCTGTATGGTTACAGTTGCTAACCTAATTGACTGGTACTTTTGTCTGTTTATCCACATCTTGACAGAGGCCTGGATTACTACTGCTGAAGCTCTACAACGGAGAAACTTTTGTCTCTGTACCAGGCCTCGGTATCTACTCTGCAGGGTTACGGCAGCAGATCTCACCGTTAGGTACTCATTCCTCTGAATCATCCTGGAGTGGTGAGCTCTATATCTTCGCTGAATACAAACTACGGCATGTCTGACCTTGACATAACGTGATTTTTGCAAGTACATCCGTGTGTGTTTTTGTAAGGTAATGCATGCCGATTTAATTCTTCTGTAGCTTTCCATCTGCCTGTGACATCTCCATGTAGTCTGAATTCTTATAGAGGCTGTCTGTCTGGTGGTCATTTGCTTCTCTAGCCACTTTCTGATGGCCGTCTGAAATGAGCAAAACTAATTGATGTTAATAAGAATAAGTATCATAATAATAATCACAATTTACAGCATTACCCCTCTCAGCAGTTTCACTTTGCTGTCTAATGTTTAATAGCAATGACCAAACTAACCTTTTTTTACATTGATTCACATATTGTCGAATGTGTAAATACTGCTGAAGACTGCTGGGTGTTAACACCCTAAAGACTGTTCAATATACATATAGATACCTGTCTAGAAATGATCTCCATTGCATTGAATACACCGATAAATCACAAAAATAAATACATGATACCATTACTCATATTAAAAACCAAGTCATTTATTTCCTCATTTAGCATCATGTTATTTAGCTTCAGAAAACATTGTTCTGAGAATGGTTTATAAGGTAAGTCATATTTTGTTATTTTCCTTTTATGTTCCCCAACTTATTATGACATAGAAACTGAAGGCAAAGTTTCAACAGTCAACAGAAAAAGCCTAAAGTCTTGACCATACGACAAAGAGAAGCTGCTCTACCTGTAGAACACATGCAGCAGTTGTTTGGCGCCTTTCCTCATCTGCAGCTTTGAGTTGTGCAGCAGTCCTTCGAGCCAGCCATGCTCGTACATACTTCTGTAAGACCCTTGCTCCCTCTGCCCTCCTGACAGCCTGTTTAGCTCTCAGAAACCTCCTCGCTGCTGTCTGGATGACAATGGCTGCATCATGCTTCACCTAAACAATACAAATCATTGCAAAAAACATTTTCAATCTGTTATGTGACCTCTATATGTTGTGGAATCTTTTTTGGATACAATCTATTCTTTAAACATGGTGACCATATGCAAAGGGACCACTTGTAAGTATTTATCAATATATCACAAGGAATGTAATTATAATGTCAACAACTTAAGTACAATAGATGTGATGTCATAGGCTTAAAGATGGTGTCCTGGAAACTTCCACAGAGTTTTGTAGAGTAAGACACTCTGTAATAAATTGTTGTTATCACTTAATGTGGGATTTAATATTTACAGTGTCAGACTTTAAATTTATAGAATTTGTTTCTTCACCAAACTTGCAGGGATTTTATTTCATCATCACCATAATGGCCCTAACTACCAAAAGAGTAAGACCTTTGTGAGTTTTATATTTTGTCTATATATTTTTCACACTCCAAAGGTAGAGGGAATAAACCTACAGAATACAAGCGTTACAAAGTAAGATTATACACAGGCTTACAATTACCACAGATTTTGCTGTATTTAGTTATATAAATACATTTCGTTTCAACAGAAAAGCATGGTTGATGTCATTGCTGAAATGTAAATGTGTACAAAATTACGATGGTTTACAACCGTAGAAGACATCCTCAACCCCACCCTAAAAGTATTTCATTCAAATTATATTTTTCATTCCAAGCTTTACTCTCAGCTGTGTAGGTAAGTGAAATGCCTTCGACAGTGAAGACATGTCCCTCTCCCTTAGGTACACACTAGACTTGTCTGACTGACCTGTAGTTCTTTCTTTGACCTCCTCAGGTAGTGTCGACGCCAGGCCAACTGGATGACTCTGGCCGCCCGTGACTCATGTCTGATGTCCAGTAAGCGAGCACACAGGTAACAGATGTAAGTGACCACCACTTTCTCGTCAGGAATCGTGTTGGACATGTCCATTGAACGCAACATCAGTGGAATGCCTCCCAACTCTGAAACTTTCTCGTACAGCAACTTAAAGTTGGACTTCTCATTTAACAGGAGCTCCTCAAACAGCACTGGGTCTTCAGCCACTGAAGTAAAACAAGCAAATGATACTCACATCAGGAATAGACCTGTTAATCACTGGCAAACCTCTCTGGCACAGTATAAATACCTGTTTTCTGACATTCAGACAAACTTGCTCTCTGAACAATTCAACAGGAAGTGATAAAGTGCATCACAGAACTTGCATTTCATGTCTTCCAAAGCTTATCAACCGCAACAATGTTGCAGAATACTTATAGTGTCAGTAGTAATTGACTTCCTAATCTTTGGGTTTCTCATCACTATCCCTTGATAGTCCTTGTTGGTTTAGGTTGTGGTACCTAAATGGAATGTTTATAACAATCCTACCGCTGCATTAAGTATGATTTTTATGTATGACCTTGCATTGTAAGTACATTCTGTCCCTTCCCCAAGTTCTTCATAAAACCAATGTTCAAGGTGTTAATGATGGCAATGATATGTAAGTTTGTGCAAGATTGAAATTGTTTGTTTCTTTAGATGCTATGGAATAACAGTTATTAAAACCAACACAGAAATGTTTTTGAAGTGGACAAACACATAACAGATACTAATGAACAAAAAATCACAAAAATTAAAGACTATCTTTCTATTTTGCCTAGTTATAGGGGATACACCAAACAATTATGTAAAAGTTATGAGGGTTCTATTGTATTGACTCCCCTCCACCACTGACAACCTCAACAAAATAGAAAGTTGATCTTTGAATAATCATGAATATATTAGTCAAGCCAGGTTTGTAACATTACCTGGAAAAGGAGCTGGACTAAATACATCTGATGAGTTGAGCTCAAGGTTACTATTACACATCTCCTCCTCAAGGTCATCCTGGTAGGTCAAGGTTGTCTTGGTGTGGATTGACTCCCAGGGAAGAAGGGAAGGGTGGTAGTGATGGACCAAGGCACACATAGCACGGCCGTCCCCAAACGACACAGTGAAGTTCTCAATCTGTAGGTATGAACAAGTTACATCAAGCTGGAGAAAGGTAGATCCCTCCAGTACTTACTGAGAAATAGCAATGTACATGCAGAAGTAATGACTAATGACCAAATTTCCCTGTAGACAGTCTTTATATTATTAGGGCTTTTCACCAACTGGTGAAAATTCTTCTTCTTCTTATCTCCGTACTTTTGTGGAGTCTGTATCTTTTGATTGGTAGAAGATAGGTTTATACTCTTTTAAGTATGTTGTAGGCCAAAGTCTGAAGATGTTACAGGAACCTTTTCAAGTAGGTCAAAAATCTAATATGGCCGCCATGACGTCATAAATTAAAATCTTTAAAACCACTATAACTCGAAAATTGTTGATTGTACAGAATTTGAGCTATTATATTTTTTGTAGATAATTTCCATATTTAACTTTTTCTCATTACATGTTAATTCAAAATATTTCAAATAAAAAAGCTTGCTGTTAGGTCAAAGGTCACCATATTTTGAAAAACATGCATTTTTCATTTCTTTCGATAAATTCTTCTACAGATCGATGAAGAATTCCATGCCGATGAATTTGATGTCTTTAGTTTTTCTGTAACATTTTTCGTTAACGTCCTATGGCGTGTTCATTATTGAAAAGCCGACAATATTTTACAAACTTCAACGATCTTCTTCTCCAATTCTATCATTGCAATATTAACCACAATTGGTACATGTATTTCTCTGGGGACCCTTACAAACTTATGCTACTTTTTTGAGCAATTAATATTCTAAGATGGCTGCCACGAACTGTGATTGGTTAACAGCCTATATCAATATATTTTGTTAACGATATAAAGCACGAGGTTGATCTTTAGATTTCATATAGAGATCAACAACAGCAAACTTTTTCCTCCATACTGTTTTAACAAAAAATGTCAACTTCCGGTTCTCAGCAGGGGTCAAGTTTAAAATGCACTATATTGGGTACCAACCTTTAAAAATATACTTCTTTGTAAGTATAACAAGGTCTAAAGTCTTGATATATAATATTAAAGATTCTGAGATGTCGAGGTATCAGGTTTAAAAAAATGGTTGACATTGATCAATTGTCAAAGTCACAATTAAGGTCACCAATTTCAAATGTTTAAACAAATAAAATTTCTTTAATAAAGAATAGTTTGAAAATTGTTCGATAGATTCACTTTATATTCAGGTATGATGTGGACAACACAAAAGTGCATGTTTTTGGCAGAAAACATTTTGAGTTGACAAGGTCAAGTTTTGAGTTATTCTGAGGTCAAACTTCATATGTGCTATTTCAAGATAATGACTTCAAAAAACTTCTTCTAAAGTTCTACAAGGTCTAGAGTCCTACTAATTGATACATAACACGGCAAGGTAATTGGCTATCAATTTTGAAAATATGATTGACATTGAATGACTTTCAAGGTCACAGAGGTCATATATGTAAAAATATTGAAACCACTTGAATAACAAATAATTCCAGGGTAATAATGTTTGGCAAAGAAGCAAGCTTGAATGAAGGGCTTTAAAGTGTGTGCAAATGAATGACCTTGACCTATTCTAAATATAATTTCAAAAGTGAAAGTCAAATCCGTTTTCATTTTTGTGAAGTGCTCTCAATACTCTCAGTACTTTGATTTATATCACGACATCTAATACACGCTAGTAATACTACATCGATTACTATGCACTGTCAATCTTAAAAGTGTGGACAGTTTACATCTCTACTGCAGTGGGTAAACATCAGCCTTTCTTTTGCATGGCAAACGCAACCAATATAGACAAAAAGCTAGTTTCAATTCATCATCCTGACGTACATAGTGGACGGGCTACATTCCTATACAACTAAGCCCATTGGCTGCCTATATTTATCCATTCTTTCTCTGACGTCATTTCGCACTCCGGGAAAACCCCACTACTCAGTCAGCTACTGTAGACTTGCACAGGTTATTATTAGAAGGCCAAATCAGTCCTTACAGTGAAAAGCCCGTCAAATTGTTAGCCAACAATTTCTAGTTGCTATTGATTTGATATTACATTTTTGTCCAATCTTTACATGTATTGTTTCAATTTGTACATCCTCACACAATATTTTCTCATCTGTTCATGTGTTTAAATCTTTTTAGGGAGAATTTCATTTGTCAATGTTAACAAATCTTACCCTATCAAACAGACAAATCTGGCCTGATCCATAGAATCCTTTTTGCTTTTCCACAAAACTAACACATATATACATGCACTCCGGGAAAACCCCACTACTCAGTCAGCTACTGTAGACTTGCACAGGTTATTATTAGAAGGCCAAATCAGTCCTTACAGTGAAAAGCCCGTCAAATTGTTAGCCAACAATTTCTAGTTGCTATTGATTTGATATTACATTTTTGTCCAATCTTTACATGTATTGTTTCAATTTGTACATCCTCACACAATATTTTCTCATCTGTTCATGTGTTTAAATCTTTTTAGGGAGAATTTCATTTGTCAATGTTAACAAATCTTACCCTATCAAACAGACAAATCTGGCCTGATCCATAGAATCCTTTTTGCTTTTCCACAAAACTAACACATATATACATATAAGTTATCTAGTTCATACTTTTTTCCTAGAACCTTCTATAACAGTTTAAAAGAAAAGCTCTAATAGTTAACACAACAAGAAATTAACTGCACATTTATGAAGCTTATTTTGAGGTTTTGTTCCAACCAAATGAAGAGACCTGGCCGGTTGTCAGTTAGATACCAACCTTGATGTGGTAGAAGGCACACACTGTACGACACCAGCGAAGCAGTAACAACAGTCTATCATTCTGCATGTGCAGGTCTTGCTCAGCTGACTCACGGCGTTTCTTACTCAGACCTATCAACAGAAATAGGAAGGAACAATTGAATGCATGTATGTTTTTGTTCTCTTGAGATTTTATGTTGCCTCTCAGCAAAGACAGATATAGTGTAGTCCAACAGTTTCATCTCAAAAATGTGTAACTTTACCAAGCATCTCCATGCACAGTAGCTAATTGGTCCCTTGGAAGTTTATTAGGATTTTTTTAACTCTGATATCTTCAATACTATGGCTATTTTTTCTTTTCCCAACAGCTTGGTCCTAGTGAAGTTTGACTGGGATAGCACTCAATTTGTAGTATGCTTATCCAAACTGAAATGTGCCTGTCACAGGATTATGACATTGCAATTGTCAACTTGCCCAACTTGTGAAACAAGCTGGGATGTCTAGATCTCCAACAATGGTGAGGAAATACTGCTAATGGAATGACAGAGTGAATACTTGGTCTAGCTGGCCTAGTTGGCCTACCAGGGCCTGTACATGTGTGAGTTAGTATTTCAGTATACACTTACCTTGTTCATACCTGTGTAGAGCCTCGAGTTGGTTCCTGACACGCAGACTTCTCTGTAGGATATCTATCTCCTCCCTCAGCTGCTCCTCATTTAGCAGCACATCCACCTACAGAGATAACAATGTTCATATCCAAAGCTTGTAATATGACAATCAAAATATATTGACATGTTAAAAGTATCAATAACTAGAAAACAATCATTTAGTAACTTCACTTATATTTCCAGTTAACAAGTTGATAAAATAAGGACCCTGTATGTGATCACAATTTCCTCAAAGTATTTTCTAACAAGAGGCCCAGAGGGCCTGTATCACTCACCTGAATATGTTTAAAATAATTGGTAGTAAGTAAAGATATAGCACTCCATAGTAGGGGCTGTAAGTACATATGAAATTTCAGAAAGATCCATCCAGTACCTGAGATAAAGCAAGAACAAACTTCAAACAGAGCCCCACCCCTATGCCCCTAGGGGGGTCATACCCACCAATTATACAAAATTGAGTCCCCTTGGTCCAAGGATGCTCCATACTATATATGGATAAAATCCCTTAATCCCGATGGTCGAAGAAGGATTTTAAAGGTTTTACCTCTATTTCCCCTATTGGGCCCCGCCTCTTTGCCTCCAGGGGGGTTAGACACATCGTTTATACAAAATATGGAACAAATTGTTTCATTCCTACAGAAGAAGTAGGATTTTAAAGAATAATTTGCTATGTTTCCCCTATTGGGCCCCGGCCCTCAGGCCCCTGGGGGGCCACACCCACCGTTTAAACAAATTGGTTCCACTTCACCCAAGGATGCTCCAAACCAAATATGGAACAAATCCTTTCATTCCTACAGAAGAAGAAGGATTTTAAAGAATAATTTGCTATGTTTCCCCTATTGGGCCCCATCCCTCAGGCCCCTGGCGGGCCAGACCCACCATTTATACAAACTTTGTTCCCCTTTACCCAAGGATGCTCCAGACTAAATAAGGATAAAATCCCTTAATCCCTACGGTAGAAGAAGGATTTTCAAGGTTTTACCTCTTTTTCCCCTATTTGGCCCTGCCCCTAGGGGGGCCACACTCACCGTTTATACAAAAATTAGTCCCCTTGGCCTAAGGATACTCCAGACCATATTTAGTCAAAATCTACTTGGCCGTTCAGGACTAGTAGCGTTTTAAAGGAAAAGTTGATGGACGGATGACGGACGCTGCAGTATGGCATAAGCTCACCATGGTCCAGATTGTTGTAAGACATCAATTGATTAATTTATGAGTAATTCCTCTTAATCCAAAAACAATGTTATTATAAGATGATAAAGATGTTATAGCTGTCCCTTTAACAATACGTATATGTTATGATAACTGACCTGGTACTGTAGGATGAGTCCCCACAACACATGCAGAGTCTTCTCTCTGTGTCCATCACAAAGGTCCTTGGGTGTAATTTTTTTCTCTATTTAACCAAATCAAACAGAAAAAATGGGATGTGAAATTGATAAGCATAATTAAAACTTCATCTAATGAAATTCGCATTTTGAGTGATAATGTAATAATACATAATTGCAAGAAAAGTATTGATTTTTTTTTTTTCAAAATTAAATATCTATCAAATACCTGTATAAGTGCCCTGTTATCTGTGTCATAACATTCATAACATAAATTGTGTTAAGAGCGCACATTTAACAACACAAATCAGAGCTGTGATTGGCTGTAGGTTCAGGCTTGTCAAATGTGAGTAACAAATAAGACAACTTTATGGTGTCAAGCTTTTAAATGCATTTTGACATAAAAGTAAAACATTGTCTTCCAAGGAGTGAAAATGTTGATTTCATGTCTGACTGAGGAAGCGCTGTTCACCAGAGGGTTACTAACATTTCATAATCTTACTCCTGTATCCTCAATACTCCAGGGTTACTAACATTTCATAATCTTACTCCTGTATCCTCAATACTCCAGGGTTATGCTCACTTTCATAATCTTACTCCTGTATCCTCAATACTCCAGGGTTACGCTCACTTTCGCTCTCTGCACCCCTTGAATATGTCATAACAAAATCAAAGACTTAGTGTGCACCCCTTCATGGATGAGATGAGAAGACTGGTTTGAAATTGGCTGGCTTTAAATCAAAGTTTGGTGTCGCTCCTCTCTAATCTTCAAAGGCCATGTATCAGCCTAGAGCAATTGGTCAGGTTTATTTACCAGACACCAATCAAATAGCTGGCCACATGCCTTCAATTTTGCTATGACATATTCCAGGGGTGGAGAGAGCGAAAGTTAGCGTAAGCCCTGGAGTATCGAGGATGGTGTAACATATACTAATTTTATCTTTCACTGTGTTTATTAAAACCATGTAAGGCACCAAGGGGAGCAATTCTGAATTGCATTAATAAAAATGATTTATACCATATTTTACAATAATATTAATGTACATGCATTTGTTATGCCATATATATATGTTAAAACTTTTTTGCATATGGGAGATAGAAACTGAATCATATTGCTGGACCAGAATTATATACAGTATGGAACAAAAAGCTTAACCAAATTTACATCTTCATTTTAAGTTTCAAATTGCACTTGTTTGTCTGCAAAAAAGCAATTTGGCTAAAATGTCAGAGGAAAATATACAAGTGTCTTTATGTCGATAGGAAAAACGACTTGCCGAGCAGCACCAACATTCTGCTGAGTTTAACAAATGGACAGTCTGTTGTAAGAGTATTGCGTGGTCAGTCTGGTGTAAGAGTATTGCATGGTCAGTCTGGTGTAAGAGTATTGTATGGTCAGTCTGTTGTAAGAGTATTGTATGGTCAGTCTGTTGTAAGAGTATTGTATGGTCAGTCTGTTGTAAGAGTATTGTATGGTCAGTCTGTTGTAAGAGTATTACAGACATTGCTGGATTGTATATAGTCAGTCTGTTATATATAAGAGTATTGTATGGTGAGTCTGGTGTAAGAGTATTGTATGGTCAGTCTGTTGTAAGAGTATTGTATGGTCAGTCTGTTGTAAGAGTATTGTATGGTCAGTCTGTTGTAAGAGTATT